GTAAGAACAAAAGATTTTGGGCAGGGGGAGGGGGAGGTACATTTAACTTACTCATTTTAACGCAGTCTGTTATTGGATCGGTTGAATTGTTCTTAATTTCTTTTGACAGGTGTCCTGTTCGCCTCGCTATCAGCTGGACAAGGTAAGTAGGAACTAAGAGTTCATCCACAATTGTAAATAAAATTACATTACCGGTGTTGGTAGTTTGGACAAAAGAACCCCCCCCAAAAAAAAACAACCAACAACAACAACCAACAACAAAAAAACCCACCAAAAAAAACCAAAAACAAAACCCCACCCCAAAAAACCCCCAAACAACCCAACAACAACAAACCAACAAACCAACCAACCAACCAACCAACCAACTAACAAACAAACCAAGCAGAAACAATGCTAGAATATGAAAAGGAAAGTCATAGCAGTAACAACAGAGTCAGTAGCCACACATCACTCCATCCATTCTGTTCCTGATAAATACATCGAGCAAAGTCTAAGCTTCTCTCTCCCACCAAGCCTGTTACAATCCATGTTGAAAAAAAATCCTAAAGAAAAAAAAAAGAAACTAGGCCGAGGTTAAGACCAAAAACAGAAATACAAAAATAAAAAGCAAAAAAACCCAACAACAACAACAACAAACATAAATAAAAACACTTTAGCAAATGAAGGGAACGGAAAATGTATGCTAGTTAATTGATTGATTGATTGATAGTTTGATTGACTGCAATTCGGTTAATTTTTTAAAGAACTATCTATTCATTTATCATTTTATTTCTCCTATATCTCTGTAATTCTTGTTTTCACCAATCCGTTTGTAGACACAACTGCTGTAAAGGCCCCTCCTAAGCCTACGGCCCCGCCTGCAGTCACCACTGATGCTCCAACAGCACCGCCAGCTTCCCCCTCCGTGGCAGCACCAGTGACAACTCGTACGTGAAAGTTGGTGTCTTTGTACAGTAGGCCTCATCTTCTACCCCCTTCCTTCTCCTTCAATTTTTAAATAGATTAATTAATTATTAATTAATTAATCAATTAACTACTTAATTAATTGATCGATTAATTTGCTTGTTTGTTTTGTTTGTTTATTTGTTTATTTGTTTATTTGTTTATTTGTTTATTTGTTTATTTATTTATTTATTTATTTATATTTTTGTTGTATCTACGTATGTATTTACGTATTAATGTATTAAATGTATTAATGGATTTCTTTCTTTCTTTCTTTCTGTTTTTCTTCATGTATTCATTTATTTATTTATTTACTTGTTTGTTTGTTTGTTTGTTTGTTTATTTATTTATTCTTTGAAGTAACGTACCAAAACGAACAAATCAGCACTACCAGGGCCAGCATCAGTAGCACTACCCGACACCCGCACCGTCAAAGATGCCCCGTTAACATCACCATAGTTGTCATCTTTGTCGCCACCACTACCACCACCATCTCGCTACCACAATCCTCATCATCACCACCACCACCACCACCACCACCACCACCATCCTGTTACCACAATCCTCATCATCACCACCACCACCACCACCATCACCACCATCCCGCTACCACAATCCTCATCATCACCACCACCATCATCCCGCTACCACAATCCTCATCATCACCACCACCACCATCTCGCTACCACGATCCTCATCTTCACCACCACCACCATCTCGATACCACAATCCTCATCATCATCATCACCACCACCACCACCACCACCACCACCATCCCGCTACCACAATCCTCATCCTCACCACCACCACCATCCCGCTACCACAATCGTCCTCACCACCACCACAACCACCACCACCACCACTACCCCGCTACCACAATCCTCATCATCACCATCACCACCACCACCACCATCCCGCAACCACAATCCTCATCATCACCACCACCACCACCACCATCCCGCTACCACAATCCTCATCACCACCACCACCATCCCTCTACCACAATCCTCATCATCACCACCACCACCACAATCATCACCACCACCACCACCACTGCACCTACAACATTCAGAACCACCACCAATATTATCACCAACACCACTACCACCACCACCACCACCACCACTGTTAACGCCACAGGGAACCGAATCTACAATGCTAAAAATCCAAAGTCTTAGTAAAAATTGTGTATATTTTTTCTATTTGAGATACCCCCCCCCCCTTAAAAAAAGATTGTTTAAAAATGCACACACACAAACACACACACACACGTGTGTGTGTGTGTGTGTGTGTGTGTGTGATAGTGAGGTTGGGGTGTGTTTTTTTTGGGGGGGGGGGATAAATATGCTTTTCGAATAAATCAAATGCCTAACGATTTTTTTTGGTTTCTCTACAGCTGCTCCAGCTGGTAAGTGTATATTATTATATAAAGAGTCAACCTCACGAAACGTTATTAGATTTATTTCTAAATTAATCTTTTTATATCGCAATGCTACAAAAGATAAACCTTACTTTCCAGGCAAGTCATATTGAATGCTAACCAGTTACCAATGAACTACTTGGCTTAAGGGAATCATTTCGCTTACAATAAAGTAGTTCCAGATCTGAGTAGGGTCAGCTCGTAAGGTGTTTGTGAAAACAAAAACAAAAAAAGAGTACTTTTGAGCAATGTGTGAACCGAACTCAAGTTTTGGAATAAATGCATTTAATGTTTACCTGTTGTTGTCATTACCATATCACACACTAACTTGCTTTTTTACTATTATGCATATTATAGTATACTTCTAGCTCAGATCCTGCCTAAAAACGTTAGGGGTTTATGGAGACCCATGGCATCCACAGAGTGGATTCTTGCGGGATAATGTTTGACAGGCACAATTGTAGGTTAATGACATCTTCCATTTTGAATAGGGATTCTTTTTTTGACTACCTATTCTATTTGGTAATTATATGTCGTTTGTACTATGTCTGTACTATATGTGCACGGCCTTTAATTTAAAAACAGCAAGAACCTATAGAAGACGTAAAGATATGCCTCACACGAAAGAAGCATGGTTAGGGGCCTCGAAGATCACAGGGGGTCAAAGGAGTAAACATTGCCCATTGCACAATCGTTCTGAAAGTACACTGTACTCTCGTGCAAAAATTCGAGACATGTAGACGGCTTCCAAAATAAGAGCTACACCAAAAGAGAGCCACTAACCAGCAGTTTAAGCTGGATAACTATAGAAAGTTTAAGACCCTCACATTTCTGTAATCTTTTTTTTAAAAATCACACTCTGATGAATAATAGATAATGGACTCGTGCCCTATGGGCATCGTCAACATACTTGCTGAGCTCTCTTTCTCACTCATCTGTGGCGGACCCCCCTCATCCCAACCCACCCCCAACCCCCCTGAGCACTATAAAATCAAAGCAAAATCAAATATTATCTAGAAATAACCATTAACCCACAGA